GACAAGCATTATTATTAATCTGTGAGTTAAGAATGCCTAACAGGAAAAATTCTTGCAATACATTTAAGTCCACCTGCGGAGCTGACTTAGCAGCCATTGACGTATGCTGTGCATTTTTTAAGGAGAATGAGGTAATTGTAGTAAGATTTTAGGAGGCAATGTTTTATAATAGATGAAAAAGAATTGTGTTGCATAAATTAATTTCTTGAATAAAAAAATGGAAGAGAATGTTTTTCTCTATCTTAAGCAATGGAAAGGCAGATAGGTGCAATTATTTCTCCAGGCCTCCTTGTTGAAACAGCTGTCTGCTACATGTGCATTTGTAACTTCAGGCTGCGCACCCAAGGTGTTGCAGGTGTTAATTTATGCAGTGTATATAGCATGGTGCTGCAATACATACAATTTAGATATTGTAGTCTAATACACAAATAGGCTTTCAAAGACAACATTTCTTCCATGTCGTTAAAGATTGGATATGAACATCTACTTCTGCTTTGCAAATTTTGCACAACAGATTTTTTTATAGATATTTATTAATTTAGGTTACTTTTCATTAGTTTTACTATCAAAGTTATGACAGATTACAGAGCTCCTCAGCAAGCTGCAAAGAGGCTCCAAAGGAAATACTGGTGGCATTTAAAGGAAAACAGTCAACTCCCTTCATGAAACTCCCTTTCTTTTTTTGTGAAGGATTGAAATAAGAGTGAAGAACAGTTCACGGCCACAAAGGCTACATTAATAGTGTAGCAGTGTTTGAAAAGAGTGTTTGGAGAAGATGAGGTGAAGGCTGTACAATTTTTATCTAGTTTGTGCATTTGGGATGCGTGAAACTTCATGTGATGTATCAGAAGTACACAGTGGGGTTGAAAAATGAAAACTGGGCATTTCTCTGTTGCTTCATAAAGCTCAGTAGCACATACCTGCTTGGAATATCTGCAAAACAGATAAGCAGGACAGGTCATGAAGGTTTTATGTCCCAAAATATATTCCTTACAGTAGGAATTACAGACTAACAATTTTAAAAAGTTTTCATCCTTATTTTCCTGTTCCCGAAGTTTTAATTTGCAACTACATGGAAGTCTTCTGCTTTACTCTGACTAGCTGCAAGAAGTCAAAATGCACACTCTAATCTTACTTGAAACCAAATTATTTTAAATTACAGGGACAAAAGCAGTCCCAAACAAGATTAGGCTGTCACTGCTCAAAATGCTGAATGTATGAAAATGTCTTTGCTTTCAGAAAGTTAAAATCTGAGCAGCACTGACATATGGTTTAAAGGATTAAAAAAACCAACAACTTATCTCCGTTATACAGATGGGAAATTGAGGCACAGAAAGAATAAAAACGTGCCCAAGGTCAAATAAGAAATCTCATCAGATACAATCTTTCTCTCTAACATACTTCAGTAAAAATTTATAGTCACCTAATAAAGAAATGTGTTAGTCACCCACATAACACACTTCATCATAGGAATCTTTTTCTTATCATTATTTCTAAAATGAGTTCAAACTAACACCACCAATCTGCTCTGAACACAGCTTAAAGCATTATGTGTGTCAACAGGATAAAACACACCAGCACTTATTCTTTGAAATACTTTACTTCAACCTAGGAACCTTATAAAGGCTCCCTTTAGAAGCTAGGATTTCCCTTCTCTTTTTCTCGACTTCCAATATATTGTCACTTGTTTTTCCTTTGGATGATATGCTTATGAAGGACACTGTACAAGTGTGCACACAGCAATTAAAGAAAGCAGAGTCCATCATAAAGCTGTCTGGACTATTTTGAAAAGGATACAAAGTTAAATTAAATATTCCAGCCACAGAAGCTGTCACCACAAAGAAAAGCTGTGCCATTGATCTGGTATCAAACTTCATTTATAGCATGTGAGCATGATGGACATGGCTCCCTTAATTACAGTGGATTAAAGCAGGAAGAGCTCTATTGATGTCTAGACTTGTAGCAGGAGCAACTTAGCGAGGAGACGAGGAGAATCAGGTCCTTTCACTGCAGGAAGATGGTGTCACACTTTAGCGAAGACTTGACAGGAGGAAAATTCCAGTATTCATACATGATAAATCACATGCAACAAGCTGAGCATACAGCTTGCAGTCAGCACTTTGCTGTGAGCAGTGTAAGCACCAGAACCACGGTGTGAAGCATCTGCTCACAGTCTTCCAAGCTTACTAATGATCTCACCATTTGCTGTCTTCTGATGAATAAGGAATGCCAAATGACTACTTTAGAGGCAGGCAGAGGGTCAGGAGAGGTGAATCATGTTGGCGTTATCTAAGGTAAGAGAGCAGGTGCTTGCTTCCAAGCACCTTTAAGAAAACACTTTCCTCCAGCCCTAGACAGCAAGTCCCTGTTACCGCTCATATAGAATAAACTGAGAGCCAGATTTGGTTCAACAGTTTCTCTAGCCTCCATCACATTCAGATTCATTCTTGTCTCCTGTCTCAGCCATGCCAATTGCTCTAGGTACACACCCCAGTGGTTACATCCTTCTTGCACAGAGGCACCTCTCACTAATCCTTATGCAACCAGAAAAATAACTGCGTATGTGAGACTTAATTACACAGCCTCCATTAATTATTTACCTGTTGTGATAGGCGCTACAATTAAAATCAAGAAGGTGGTTTTACTGCTTATTCCCTTATGTTCCCGTCCCAGGTAAGGAGAAGGAAAGAAGTACTGCTTTTAAACTGTCTTAGTGTTTTGCTCACATTGAATTTTTTTTTTTTTTTGCTATGAACTGAAATTCATTCTTTAAAAGGTGAGCTTTTCTCAGAGCAAGTGTCTGCAAACTTATTTTCAACAAAGTCCATTTTAATCATTCCCCAAGACAGTAATGTCTAGACGTTACCCCTACACTGTGATCCCAACAGTCCGATCTGCCCTGGACACACATGCGCTGTGAGGATACCACTGAAAAAACAGGCTGCACATTACTCAGCCATGCTAAGGGACCACGGCTAACATACTGATTTAAAAGCACTCTGAAGATGCAAAAGTATTCATAACTATTTCTTAGAACACATAATTTGTGTCATGGTGAAGTAAGTTCTGAACATCTAATTTGGTTTTTTTACAATATTAATATGCACATGATAACATGAAAAGTCATTTTTTTGTATGAGTCCTGCCTTATCACTCATAGCATTTGTTTCTGAGAGCTAGCATTCAATTATTTAAAAATGCAAATAAAACCAAAATATGGTAACTAATATTGGACATATTTACAATTTAATTTGTTCTAAATTCTCTCCATGACCCAAATGTGCAAAGTGCCAAGTACCGCCTCTTCCCAGGGATTTCAGCAACCATTAAAGGCACTCAGAATCTCCCTGACAGCACCTAGCATCTTGCAGAATAAGGCACTTGACACCAAAAAAAAGGATTTTGATTGTCAGGGAAACAGAGTCATCTCTCAACTAGAACATGTTAGCTATTTCACTGAGCATACCAAGTCTGTTTAACGGTTTGAGATAGAACAGACAGACATGCAATCCATATACCTCCAGAAGGATTTTAAGTCAGCAGGATACAATGGCCCAGACGCCTGTGTGGGCAGAATATCACCTTACCATATTCCCCTGACATGGAAGGTAAATTATACCTTTAATTATCATACAAGGTCAGATTTTAGTGTTGTGCCTCCTGTTGAAGAAAGTGTCTCTAACTGCATAATCCCATAAAAATGTCACAGGTTTATACTGTATATTACCAGCTCGAAGGAAACTTATTATGAACCAGAATGTCATCTTTTGTACCTTCCACCCCAACTTCAGCAGCCTACTGAGATCTCCAATGGAAGAGCAAAGAGGGTTTCGACATTACAAAAAGTACAGCCCCAAGTGTTGTGAGTGCTATAGAAAAGTTCAGGGAAAAAAAGCTCAGTACTCAACTAGCAAAAATGTCATTGTGGTATCAACAGCTCCTTCTTGTTAGGTGGGCCAGAATCAGAAAGGCTTTCAAGCTGAGAGAGACCCCATGAGTTGCCTGGTCATTCAGGCCAGGTTGCTCATGGCTTTACCCAGTTGGGGTTAAAAACCTCAAAGGGCAGAGACTGCACACAGGTTGCCTCTCTGGGCTACCTGTGCCTCTGCCTGACTGTCCTCACAGGGAAAAGTACCCAGTCTGTTTCAACTTACTCCTGCTACCTCTTGCCCTCCCACCCTGCACCAGTGTAAAGAGCCCAGCTCCCTGTCCTTGAGGATGTTCCCACAGGCACTGGGGACTGCTGTTAGGTCCTCTTGAAGCCATCTCTGCTGCAGGCTGGACAAGCCCAGCTCCCCCAGCCTCTCCTCACAGGGCAGGTGCTCCAGCCCCCACCATCCTGGTGGCCTCAAGTGAACTCCCTCTGGTTTATCAACCTCTCTATGGTTTTGGGCTCCCAACACTGGATTCAGTAATCCAGATGTTGTTTAGCAAGTACTGAGTAGAGAGAGATGAGTCCCTTCGATCTGTATCTCTGCCCCTGTTCATACAGCTCAGGCTGCCATTGGCCGCCTTTGCTGCCAGGACTCGCTGCTGGCCCATGTCCCACTTGCTGGCCACCAGGACCCCCAGCGCCTTTCCCGCAGAGAGATGACTGCAACAGCTCTCCATTTGCAAACTCCATGAAAGCAGCAGATGGCAAATGACAGCATTTGTTTCTGAGAGCTAGCATTCAATTATTTAAAAATGCAAATAAAAATAAATACGGTAACTATTTGGACTCAAAGCCTTTGAAACTTCAATAATCACTGACATGAACCTGGGTATTACACAATACACCTCCACTGACTCCACTGAAAAATCAGTCTGGGTTGTCTAAAAGGCGCAAAATATATGTAGAAAAGGAGACAAATGTAATAACAGTGCATTGATATGTAGCTGCCTACATCCTAAATTTCCTTTGTCAGAGCAAAACTTCCTTGGTTCATTGTTGGTATTAAGATGGTCACTAAACTTTCCTTCCAAGTAAAGGAAATGAATTCCCTTGAAAAAATACATACCGAGAACATTAGCTGTACACTGGAGAATTCCTGAGACATCTTCAGTTTCTTCATTGCCAGAGCGGTCTGTATAGGAGCATCTGTTTGATATATTGTGAAAATTCTTCTCCGCATCCCTGTAACTACAGTAAAAAAAGTAAAAAAAGTTATAGCATCTCCTTATGCAAACGCAAGGTCGACAAATGTCTCTCAGAAGTGGTGGTAAAGGATGCCTTTAGCCTCCCTTGTCTCTTCCCTCTTCTCCCCTCCATCACCCCTGTTCCATTCATGCATTATCACACACAGATGACACCACATTAGTAGCCTGGGTATCTCAAGTATTATACTAGAATCTGGAATATTATCTGTAGTGAGAATGAAGACATAAGAAAAAAATAGTGCCAAAGGGATGAGGGAAGGGTATCAGACATATCTGTCTTATATGTCATTCCCACAGGGGTGTTGTCTATAACAAAGTTGTACAGTAAACTCCAAGCAAGATGTTTATGAGGCAATGGTAAGTATTTAATAAGAATAATAAATCTTCCACATCACATTACATTAGCACTGCAAGTATAAAACCTAGCTTTCTCTGTGGGTTATCTTCTGAAAAGATCTTGGCAGAAAGATGGATGTCAAGCTGCAACTCACTGTGCTATCAAGAATAAAGTTTGTGCTATAGCCTGTTAAAGAAAAATTAAAAAGAACCCCACCACTGATGAAAGACACAGAGCTATGCTCTGACCAGCAAGAAAGCAGCTACCATCTAAATTATTCTATCTGACATCTAAATTATTCTATCTTATTTAGCTTTGCTGTATTGTTTTTCCTTAATTCAACAGAAACAGAACAGAAGCTCAAACTATGTTTAAAACAAAGCTTTATGTAGGTGATAATGACAACAGAAGAGGGAATACAAGTGAAGAAAATATTGCAGCAGAGTGATAATGCACCTGGCAAAATACGCAATTGATTTAGCTCAATGCACAGAAAAAAGCTTTTCTAACGAGCATTTTATTAACAGTGTTGTTCTGCTTTCATACTTTGTTTATAGTTCATAAATCATGAATTGCAGTTTAAGGATTGGATTCTTCATCTGGTTAATGCCTGCAAAATCTCAGCTCCTGGGTTGCCAGCACCTGTGGAAAAGGACTAGAAAGGATTCAGAGCTGCCCATCAGGTTACCCCCCAACAGGAAAACTGGTTCTCCACATGGAGTAAAGCATATTGGGAAGAGCAGGCTCATCTTAGACAAGGAAAACCCACTGGTAAGGGCTGCTGGTGCGCTCCGCAGTGAGCTGCATGGTCTGTACCGCTTTCCAGGTCTCCAGCAACGCCAGACCATGTGCCTGGCAGGAGGCCACGTCCTGACCCACTGTCCGAGCCCACCCAGAGCCCAACCCCACCGTCACGCCAGGAGGCCAGGCCTCTTCAGTCAGCATCACTGACTCCCAGAGTGACACCACAGCTACTCCTCACCTCTGATCTTGACCGGGACGGGAGATTTGATGAACGTTTATGTTGTATTGGGTGTCAGTGCCCAGGGGGGCTGCAGGGGCTGCTGTGAGGAGAGGCTGGTTCCAGCCGGTTCCAGCCAGTTCCAACGGCCCCACCGCAGGGCACAGTTGAGTCCCTCAGCCAAGATGGTGGTGCCTCTGGGAAAATGTATTTAAGAAAGGGCAAAACACTTCATGGTGGGGTGAGTGGTGAGAGAAAGAAGTGAGAGAAACAGCCTGGAACACCAAGGTCAGTGAAGGAGGGGAGGAGGTGCTCCAGAGCAGAGATTCCCCTGCAGCCTCTGGAGAAGATCATGGGGGAGCAGGTTGTCCATGGAGGACCACAGTGGAGCAGATATCCACACTGCAGCCTGTGGAGGATCCCATGCCGGAGCAGGGGGATGTGCCCCGAAGGAAGCTGCAGTCCATGGACAGCCCACAAAGAGCAGGGAAAAAGCGTGAGGAGGAAAGAGGAGCAGAGAGGAGCTGTTATGGACTGACCACAACCTCCATCCCCATCCCCCTTGCCACTCCTCCAACAGAGGAGTCCGGAATGTCTTTATCTTGACCCACAAGCTTTGTCCATCTTACTTTTCCCCTTGTCCTGTTGAGGAGGCGAAGTGAGAGAGCGGAGCGGCTGGGTGGGGGTCTGGCAGCTGGCCAAGGTCAACCCACCACAGTGTGTACCAAAAGTAAAGATGACAGGGCAGGACAAATATAGGACATCTGCTAGAGACAGATGCTACTTTAACAAACTCATACTGATCTTCAAAAAACTGAGTCAGTGTATCGTAAGTCACAGGACTTAAGAGGTTTTCAGAGTGTCCTGGTTTTAAACTTTGTCCATTAAAAAAAGCACATCTAAGCCACATGTGGCCATAAATAAAAAGCCCCATTGTTATTGCACATATGCTTTCCTCAAGGCACTGTCTCATCCTCTGAAGTCTGCTCGTGTGAGACTTCAAGCAATTTTTTCAGCAACTGAAAAAAATTAGCAGCCAGAAAGCTTCTCCCCCCTGCCTGCCCCACGTTGGACGTCACAACTACCTGCTGAGACTGGCTCCCTCGCTGCCCCCAGGTGCCAGCCAGACTGCTAATATTGCAGGTATCACCCACCAAGCTAGGGCTCCCTGTGAATTTTAACCAAACATTGAGAAATAGGCAAGGACAATTCCCTCTAGTGCACCAAGCTTCAAAACTATGTCATAAATTCTAAAAAGACACTCAGTGCAGCCTGAAAAAAATTTCCCTTACATCTGTGTAATTAAATTCAGAGGACAGCATTCTTCATTTGTCATACGGCACAGCCATTTAATGGCTATAGACATGCAGCCATTGTATTCTGACTCTGTTAGGAAAAGTTGTCTGTGACAATAAAATACCTGCACAGATAAGGAAAATACTTGTGCAGGTAAGGAAAAGGTTGAAAGATTATTTTAATCAATGGAAGAATGCCTTAGGTTTTCATGATGATAGTTGCTATTACTTTCTTTTTACTCCTCAGTCATCTATTAATTTCCTCAATGAACTCTTAGGAGGTGGCTTTCAGCCCTGCTTCTGCAAAAACCTGCAAGTATGTAACACTGCATGTATGTAACAAGCACTGATGCAGGATTTTGCAAGAGTGGGACCTCAGGTCATAGCGTAAGTAAATTTTCCAGCATTCTCAGCTGGCTCTGTGAAAAGCAAATTGGAATAGATCTTATACTTTTACAAAAAGATTCCCTATTCTCCTTATATAGGAAACATCACTGTTAATGGAGCAGTCGTGCTCTGATGGGATTGCATGGAAGCAGGACTGGACAGCAGTTTATCATTAACGTCCATAGTATGTATAGTTACTCCAGAGCACCTCTAAGAATTTGTGAGAAAAATTAAAAAGCTTGTCAAACAAGGCTGTGACTTGGAAAGCATAGAGGAAAACATTACCATGCACCTTTTACTACCTCGCATTAACACTTACCCAATAACTTGATGCTCAAAATACTGCAGTGTCCTTTGAAGAGTTTGCTGAATGGTCTGAGGCTATGGAAGAACAATTAAAAAAAATCATTAAGATTAGGGAAGTACAGTACAATTTAATTATCTTTTAACACACTATTTTTCTCCAGTTTTACTACTCCTCATCTTCTACCTGCTAGGTGCCCATCATAGCAATAGATATGAAATATTATTCATTCCTTGTATCTTACTTCACCATTTAAATAGGAAGGAATTTTACAATGTGACATAATTAATACTGCTTACAAGACTAGTTGTGCATAACAAAGGAGCCACTTCACTATTAGCTCTCAAAAACTACCACTCACCAATTATCTCATTATTTTAAAATAATTAATTTAAAATAGTTGGAAGAAAATGCTATTCTTTTGTGATTAAAGTATCACCAGGAAAAGGCATTGGGTTTTTAAACTTTGTATGCTCCCTAGAGCATTTTGTACTAAAGAATATTGTAAAGACACAATTTATTTTGGCTTACTTTCCTGACAAGCTATGACTCTCCAGTCATCTTTTAAATTATCAGGAAACTCAAGTTCATCAAAAGAAAATCATGACATGCTTCAAGCATTTTTATGCTATTTCATTTTAATAGGTGTTCACCAAACTACGTATGTGCATATATGTGTTTATTTGCATTATTACTACTACTACTACAGTGTTCACCAAAATACATATGTACATATATATGTTTATTTTCCTTACTACTGCTGCTGCTCTATTCCTATTATTTTTAATTAATTCATGAGAGATCTTTGGGTAAATAAAGCAAGTGTGAAATCCATGTCATTCTCTTTGGAGTTTTCCAGGTCACTTATGGCAAAACATCATTCTTCCAAAATGACTGGTTTGTACCTAATCTGAGAGTTTTCACCTGTCTATTTTCTCCTGGCGCCAGAGATCAGACAAAGGTACTCAATTTGGATTTATAAATCTTCCTTCTGTATCAGAGGCACACGGGGATATTTTGATCAGACTCACAGCAGCAGACATTCAAATTTTAGAGATATTTGGTATTTTCCTACCTTTTGGAAAAGACATCTAATTACTTTGGAAAGTAATAGCTGAAATGCCCTTTAGTTAGAGGAATTTCATTCTAAAACTTCCATCATCTTTGAAACTCTCAGATTTTGCTTACTGCTGTACAGATTCAGCAGTTCAAGAGCTGAGCTTTCTTCCTACTATGGCCCATGAGTTTGCAGAAGGAGGTATCTGTTTTGATGATGGCAGGAATGAAAAAGTGTGTATCGGGCTGCACTAAGTTTGTACAATTGTAAAAATTTCTTCTTTAATACCAAACTATAAGAACGTGTCTACCTTTTGGAATTCAAATGTGTGGAAATGCATGCACTTAACAAAAATAAGCTCAAAATAGATGTAAACCTTGAAAGAGAGGTTTTTTTGTTAATTCTGTATCAGATTATTACTTCTCTTCTCTGTGGGAACTAAGTTTCCTGTGCTAAAAGGCATTAAAAGATACATGTTCTCTTGCAAAACACAATGGAAGCACCATATGAATGAAACCATCACATATCAAAAAACCATCCCCTTCTCAGTGGTACAGCAGGTGTTGAAGTCCTTAGGCCTGATGGCCTGATGGCCAAATATATTTCATGGCCTGTTCTCACAGAGATGCAGCAGCTTTCCTGTGCTCAGGAGGCAGAAAAATCCATTCTTCACATATAGAAAAGATGTCTTTTCCCACTCTGGCAACAAGGCAAAGCAAAATGGCTTTAAGCAAAGAGGTCCAGGCAGCTGCCATCTCCCATCTCCACACAGCATTTCCCTCAGCCCCACTCCCTACACACAGAACATCAGTACTCCACCAGCAACTCCTCTGACATGAAATAGGGAATGGTAGAAATGTTTGACTGTTAAATTAAATCTCCCTTCTGGTTCGCCCAAAGTGCTTTTACAGCAAGCGCATGGAAGGCAGCAATGCCTGGTACCTACAGAGAGGAAGGAAAATAGCTTTTTGTCTTCTCAGGAAGTTTTGCAGCTTATGACATCAGGGACTGTCTTTGCCTTTCTCATGCCTGACACACAGATGTAGCACTCCTTACCCAGGGAAAAATCCTTTTGAGTACCTCAAGATTTGACCATACAAGCAACCTCCAAGTCCTGAGCTTATTTCAACAATAGATCTCCATTCTCCTGCAGTGCTGAATGAAAAAAAAAAAATAGCCCACGTACTGTTAACTCTCTCTTCTGAAAGCTAAATCATCCGCCTAGCTGCGTCAGACAATTTTATACAATTCCACAAACTCATACCCCTTTTGACTGGCATCTTCTATGAAATCTTAGAAATTAAGTACAGACAAAAAATAGGATTTACAATTAAAACACTCTCATAAACAGAGCTCTATGTAATGTGCTCATAGCCAGTATGAAATCCAATCTGAGAAGTCACGACATCTTTCTTCATTTCTGACAAGAATTATTATGGCATGTCACTGTGCATGGTTAAAAAGCCACTGTGCTTACTTTCTCAGTTTGCTGTATTTCGTCACTGGTGAACGTCATTTTGCCATAGATGTAATTCTGTAACTATGGCCATGACTAAACAAAATGGAGAGAAGAGATATGACACCTGCTTATAGCTACCTACAAGGGTAGTTTGGTGCACCACTTCTTCCACTACTGACTAAGCATTGCCTAAGAGAGAGAGAGTGGACACGAAAATATTTCAACCTCTTTTCTGCATCCAATGGCAAGACTGGATGGAGGCAAAAGAGCTAAACCTGCTTCTAGTAGCCTCTCCAAGAAACATAGCTTCTGCCATTCAGGGAGATAAAAGATCATGGAATCACAGAATCATAGAATAGTTTGGGTTGGAAGGGACCTCTAAAGGTCATCTAGTCCAACGCCCCTGCTGGGAGCAGGGACATATTCAACTAGATCAGGTTGCTCAGAGCCCTGTCCAACCCGACCTTGAATGTTTCCAGGGATGGGGCATCCACCATGCCTCTGGGCAACCTGTGCCAGTGTTTCACCACCCTCAGCATAAAAAATTCCTTCCTTAATCTAGTCTGAATCTCCCCTCTTTTAGTTTAAAGTCATTCCCCCTTGTCCTGTTGCAACAGGCCCTGACAAAAAGTCTGTCCCCATCTTTTTTATAAGCCCCCTTTAGGCACTGATAGGCTGAAGCCTTCTCTTCTCCAGGCTGAACAAACCCAACTCTCTCAGCCTTTCTTCGTAGGAGAGGTGTTCCAGCCCCATGATCATCTTCATGGCCCTCCTCTGGACCCGCTCCAACAGGTCCGTGTCTTTCTTATGCTGAGGGCTCCAGAGCTGGACGCAGTACTCCTGGTGGGGTCTCACCAGAGCAGAGTAGAGGGGCAGAATCACCTCCCTTGACCTGCTGGCCAGGCTTCTTTGGATGCAGCCCAGGATACGATTGGCCTTCTG